CTCTGTCTGGCTTCCCGGCTTTAACCCCTTTCTCCTGCTCTTCTGCCCTGCTGTTTTGTGCGTCCCTGAGTTGTCCCTGGGGCTGACTGCTCCTCTGTCTGGGTTCCTGGCTTTTTATCCCCTTCCTCCTGCTCTTCTGGCCTGCTACTCTGGGCAGGCCTGAGCTGCCTCTCTTCACCTAATCCCTTCGGCTGACTGCTACTTTTACATAGAAAGAAAAAAAAAAAATGTTAAAGCAGCTTATAAATTTTCATTCTCTAAGCCCAAAAACTAAGAGTGTAGGGAAGAAACTATGGTGTCTTTAGACTTTGCTGAATAAAAGAAAAAACAAAACTAATGCTTATCTTTAATCAGAAGGATAATTAACAATTAGTTAACTTGTCTAACTTATAGGAATTGTTCACCTGCTGAAAATATAGCTATTTTAAATTATTAATATTATCAATTTATATAATCATAGGATTAAGAATTAAACCTGCCATTGCCTCTATTACCACAAATGTTATGAATGCAAATTCTAAAATAACCAAAGAATACACTTTTAAAGTACATTTAAACTAAGTTAGACTTGTAAAACTTGGGTTTCCCACAGCAAAGGGTACTAAAATATAGCTCACTGCTGGGTTTAAGAAACAAATACACTTTGTATTCATATATATCTTAGCTATTATGTGTTGTATACAGGTTTCAAGTCTTAGTACAATCTTTTAACTTCAGGTTCCTATACTGACATTAAGAATAGTTACGTTAAGAACTTACCAAACTGGAAAGAGAATATGTACATCAACATTTAATTGTGCTTCATACATTCACACGTTTTGATCCTGATTTAATGCTATTTGACATATAGTTTTTCTTTTCTCAGTTATCCTCTGCCTTTTAAAATAATACATATAAGTCTTTTATGTAAATTAGACAAATTGAACATTTATTTGGAGAAGTAACTTGATTTCACACTAAATAACCTCATTTATTCAAAATACTCAATATAAGAAGAAAGAAAATCCTACTCCCTACATCAGGCTCCTCAATTAAAAGCATTTCACAAGGAAAGCATTCAGAAGAGAAACAAATCCTCTTAAAGGAACTTTGAATTACTTTGAGAAAACAAGTACAATTAAAAGCTCAAGAAAAAAAAGATATACCTGTATTCTATATGTTTATTTATTTTATACATTATATATTTATACATAAACACACACAGAAGAAGAGCTCACCAAAGCCATATTTTTATAAGTCAAATATACTTACAGACTGCTTAAATTCATTTAGTTGCATTTGGAGACTCTGGGTTTTATCAAGTTCCTTTTTCATTTCATTCACATTTCGTTTGAATTCTGTGACCTCTAAGCGCAGTGAGCGACGCTCCACTTCAGCTGCATGCAGCCTTTGTGTAAATCCAAATATTTGTTTCTGTAATGATGCTGTGCTTTTCTGTCGGTAAGCAAGAGCAACATTACACAGAGTAACTAGAAATTTATTAACAAACTTATGGCAATGACTGTTTTTCCAAATTACATATAACTTATCTAGAAAACAATATCAAACACTTTGCTTGCAAACTATTGAATGGGACACTTGTTTGCTTTATAAACTTTCACCTAAATCACAATAAAGAATTTTTAAAAAAAACAACTACAAAAACAATACCAGCTATTACTTAAATTCAGAGATGAATGCTTTATTTCTTTATGAGACAGTAATTTTACTTATATAAATAAAAAATTAAAGAAAATAAATCATTTAAATGTCTAGAAAATGGAAATGATAGTTTGTCTGTCTCATATAATCCTGTTGCAGTTCACTTATAGCGAACAGTAAATTCAGAACTAATCCAGAACTTTTGTATTTTGATATTTTAGACATTTATTTAGAAGAGCTTTTACTGATCTTTATTAAAAGTTCTCTTGAAATCTAAAGGAAATCTAAATATATTCATGTACAACTATTTTAAATTACAAATAAGTCTAATTCAAAATTTCATTTGTAAATTCTGAGGTCACTGTTATATCAAATAGCATACATACCATAATGGGCACATGACCACGCAGACCATATTTGAGGGCCAGAGTGTTTACTTTATGAAGTCCACGGGCCAACCTTTGAACCAGGGAATCTTTCTCTATATATGTAATACTTCTGCTGTGCAGAGGTATGCTCTCCATTGCCAGGCTAATTTTATCCATAAGTTTTGCAAAAGAATTCTTAGCTGCTCCTACAAGTAAATGTCCACAAATTCTTGAATTCGGATCTTCAAAGAAAAATTTTAAAAATACACAAAAATGTGAATTATCTCTTGTTCATTTCAAAACACTGCCAAACACAACACAATGACAATACTTTCTCATTTATATATTTCCCATTCACCTACAGTAATTCATTCAAAAATGTCCCCTCCCACATAAAATTTTACTATGAATACAGTATTGCAGAAAATGACTCAGCTACTAAAATATCTATCTAAAGAGAGTCTTCACGCATTAACAGTATGTCATTCACACTGAACACTATCCCACTAAAAATTCATCATGCTGTTCTTTGTTTTAGAACCTAACATGAATTCATTTTCTGTTTACAACTACTGAAGCTTGTTACCTTAATACCATACTATTTATATTCTCAGACAAGAAAATATAATTTGCCTTATTCCTAGGCAATTAAAATTTTACAACTACAATTACTTATTTCCCCACAGGACTTTGGTAATCATCCTTCTCATATAATGGACTTAAGGTCCCAGCATATCCAACATAGCCTGCTTACTGCTAGATTCATCAGGTCTGTAATTAATAATTGTGCTGAATGTTGATAAATAAAATTGTCAGTGCTCTTTCTACTAATTGGTATTCCAGATAACAGTTAATAGGTTTATTTATGCCTTAATAAAAGTCATGTAATTTCATTTTCTTTGTGCTAGGCAGGTCTTAATCTGGCATTACTTGCCTTATAATATTATCCATGTGAAATGACAAGCATGAAGAGATTATTTAACTTCAGTAAAATGTACCATTTTACATTTCAAGACCTTCTGCTGTTGGAGTTGATTTAAATCTTTCTTTAAATTACAAGCACAAAAAGCAAATTTGGCCAATAAAAAAATGTTTTATAATTATAAGAATACATATGGTGCATACACATAATGGAATGCTATGCAGCACTAAAGAATAATGTAGAGTCTGCAAAACACCACATAACATGGATGAACTTGGAGGATATTATGCTGAGTGAAATAAGTCAATCACAGAAGGACAAATATAGTATTAGTTTGTTGTTGTGGAAGGTTAAGGAAAGGTTTATATATGGAGGGAAACTTCCTTTGTTGGTTGCCAGGTATGGGAGGGGCGGGAACACTGGGGGCAGGAGGGAGCACCGACCCCTGTCACTTTAGTTTTGTGTATTTTACTGTACATAAATGATATTTCAATAAAATGCATTTTAAAAAAAGAATACATATGGTTTAACACTAAACAGCAATACTGAGAAGGTGATCCATCAGTGGTTTTCTGTGTCATAAAGAACCTTATCACAGAGACCCTCTGTTTTTAAGTTTGAGCTTCATACTATTTCCTTTATTCCTCAATGAATAAAAGGAAAGATAAATTTCAAATTTTATGCAGCAGTCAGAATCTGAAAACCATACTTCAAGGGGTTATACATAAAATATAAATTATTAATTGGAGAAAAGCAAAATATCTCTATGTAAAATTTATTTCTATCACTTATTGATGCATTGAGTTCTAAAAATATAACATAATGTAATACAAGTATAATTTTATATGCCACTCATCATATACATAATCACTGAGAATCTCATCAACAGAAGCATACAAAAAATAGTAAGAATTGAAATACACAGTCCATTAGGAGTCCCTGGGATGGTGTAAACAGTTAAGTGTTTGACAACTGTCCAAATCATTGACAGTTCGAACCCACTCAATAGCACCTGAGAAGACAAGTCTGGTGATCTGCTCCCAAAAAACCTTATGGAGCAGTTCTACTCTGAACACATGGGCTCACCACGAGATGGAATCTGTTTCAAGGCAACTAACAACAACAACACAGTCCTTTGATTAACAATCATATTTTTCAAATAAATCATGAGTGGAAAAAAAAAAAAACTTACTAGTTTCATATACCAATCAACATATAATACAGAACACTGAGTTTAAAGAATTATTATAGTAGGCATTGAATGGGTTGCTTGAGCCTATCATTGCAGCCACTGTGTCAGTCCACCTTGCTGAAGGTCTTCCCCTTTTTCACTGACTCTCTATTTTACCAAGCATGATATCCTTCTCCAGGGACTGGTCCCTTCTGACCACCTGACCAAAGTATGAGAGACGAAGTCTGGTCATTCTTACTTCTAAACAACATTCTGGCTGTGCTTCCTATAAGATTTGGTTGTTCTTCTAGCAGGCCATGGTACTTTCAGTATTCTTTGCCAACACCACAATTCAAAAGTGTCAATTCTTTTAAAGTCTTCCTTATTCATTGTCCTGTTCTCACATGCATATGAAGCTATTGAAAAATACTATGGCTAGAGCTCTGGTGATGTAGTGTCTAAGGCATTTGACTGCTAACTAGAAACTTGGCAGTTCAAACCCACCAGCCACTCCTGGGAAGGAAGATTGGGCAATCTACTTCCGGAGTGATATACCGCCTTGCAAGCCCAAGGAGGAGTTGCTGAGTCAGATCGGACTCGACAGCAATGAGTTTGGTTTGGTTCCGTTTGAGTTGTGAAAATGAGGAGCATATGAATTAGGTATTGGAGTGATATATTGAATATTATGTTGTTGTCATTGTTGTTATGTGCCATCGAGTCGGACCCGACTCATAGCGACCCCTCCTGGGGTTTCCGAGGCGGTATCACTACAGAAGTAGATTGCTCAACCTCCCTTCCGAGGAGTGGCTGGTGGACTTGAACTGCCAGCCTTCTGGTTAGCAGTCAAGTGCCTTAGGCACTACACTATCAGAGCTTCTACTGAATGCTATAGACAAAATAAATTTTACTATTTGTTGATTCATTTAACAGCACAGGACTGGGCAGTGTCTCGTTCTGCTATATACAGGGTCGCTATGAGTTGGAACAAATTCTACAGCACCTAACAACAACACAACTAGTTTGGAACATACTTAACTGTGTCTTTTTCATTTTAGTATACTTTTTATTTTTAGCATAATTTTGGTTTTTTAGGAGCTCTGGCTCAATGGCAGTGTTTGGTTTTGTTTGGTTATACTTCTTTTATCTTCATTGTGCCAGCCTAACATAAATGGGTACTTTTTTAAATGCTTTTTGGATTAATCACATTTCTTTTTAGTCCCACAGCAGTTACAACAATGCTGAATACATAAATCTATTCAATAATACCAAGAGAAATTAATTAATATTAACTATTATGATATGTCAACAGTTATTCTTTTAAAATAAATAACATAAAAAGTTTATTATGTTAAGAAATTTTCAAGAATATAAAAGCAATAAAATTTTCAAAGGTAAGAAGCCTTGAAAAACAAATAATAACAATTAAATTTTAATGATTAGTGGTTTTTTTACTATATCACAGGAATGTGTTTATGTAGACACTGACCACTCTGAAAGATGAAATTAAGTGACAATATAATTCCACAAGGCACTCTTCTGAATTCTTAAGAAGGGGGAAAAAGGCATACACACTAAAGTTCCTGACTGCTGACTATCAAAAAGTTACACTAAGAGCACTAAATAATTTATGCTGTGAGAAATAAGAAAAGTTTTTACAACATACTGCACATTACACAGTATGAAATGCATAATTCTATATTAAATAAATGATGAAACAATACAACCTTCAGTGACATAGCTGAGGAATTATTTGTATAATGATATAGAAATAAGGGAAAGGAATAAAGTCATTAGTTTGATAATTTAATTAATTCTTGGTTTTGTTAAACACAGGGATACTCGTTTTATTTTGTTTCATGTTACTGTGCTTCCCAGAGTGTGTTTTTTTACAAATTGAAGCTTTGTGACAACCCTGCATCAAGCAAGTCTGTCGGCATCATTTTTCCCACAGTATGTGCTCGCTTTATATCTCTATGTCACATTTTGATAATTCTCACAATATTTCGAACTTTTTCATAATGCTACTGCACACCTAATAGACTACAGTACTCTGGTAATGTTGTCAGAAGGGACCATTCCCTCAGAAGAGCATCGTGCTTGGTAAAGTGGAGGGTCAACAAAAAAGGGGAAGGCTGTCAACCAGATGGATTGACACAGTGGCTCCAACAATGGGCTCAGATGTAGCAAGGATTGTAAAGCTGGCACAGGACCAGACAGCGTTTCCTTCTGTTCTACACAGGATGGCTGTGAGTCAGAGCCGACTCGATGGTACCTGACAACATAGTATAAGCATAACTTTTATATGCACTGTTGTTGTTGTTGTTATGTGCCGCCGAGTCTGCCCCAACTCATAGCGACCCCTCCTTGGGTTTCCGAGGCAGTATCACTACGGAAGTAGGATTGCCCAACCTTCCTTCCGAGGAGTGGCTGGTGGGTTTGAACCGCTAGCCGTCTGGTTAGCAGGCAAGTGTCTTAGCCACTATGCTACCAAGAGCTCCCTTATATGCACTAGGAAAGCAAAATACTCATGTGACTCACATCACTGCAATATTCACTGTACTACAGCAGTCTAGAATCGAACCTACAATAGCTCTGAAATATACCTGTACATTTCTTAATCTCTCTTCCCCTGTTTAAGAGCATGTTGATTTTCATAAAATAAACAGATGACATGTTCTGAAACTACTTTGTCCAATGAAGGGGAAAATTTACACATGCAAACTTCGATTCTTCAAAAAGAATTTATAAGAATTATTTTAGCTAGTAGTTTTAAACTTGTTGGGGAAAAGATTTTAAAAGTTACTGCAAAGGTTCTATTTTCAACTGTAGTAACCTTGCATTTTGATCTTTATTTTGCAAAAAAGAAATATCCAAAGAAAAACCACCCAAACTCACTGTCGTCAAGTCGGATCTGACTCATAGCAACCCCTCCTTGGGTTTCTAAGGCAGTATCACTATGGAAGTAGATTGCCCAACATTCTTTCCAAGGAGTAGCTGGTGGGTTTGAACCGCCAGCCTTCTGGTTAGCAGTCAAGTGTTTTAGGCACTACACCACCAGAGCTCCCAAAAATGTTTGCTTATGGTGTTGTCAGTAATGAAATTAAAAGTCCTTTAAAAATAATAGAGAATTATGGCACCTGATAACATAG